GAGGAAAGCATAATACAACCTCGAGATGTGAAAGTCAAGTAAAGGAGCCCAGTCGATGCTCGAAGGTTGGGACACATTGTTGTCGAAGGACGGGAATTTAGCCCTATGGTAACCCCATTGGGCTATATCATACGTATAACTCATGCAATCATCATACTTAATCACATATAAAAATAATATGATTTATTAATAAATTCCAAATTTAAATAGTCAAACTATGAAAAATATGTTATATTTTTAGAAATACTTTTAAAATTAAATTGGATTTGACTAAAATTAAAGTTGAAACGTCATGCGTTAGGTACAATTAATAATAAAAATCTGACATGCCGGATATAACTGTATAATAAATGTTTGACGGATTAGGTACAATAAACAATAAATGTCTGACACATTTCGTAAAAGTGAATTATAAATGTTTGACCAGGTTAGGTACAGTGACTAACAGCTGTCGACGATAATAATTAATATATCATCTTGATGCTGAATAAGAGAAAGGCACCACTCCATTTACTTCACTACTAATAGAAATCATTGGTTGGAGGTGATTATTTTGTTTTCTAAACAAGTTCATCTCATATTTTTATCATGATTTATGTTTTTTGGACCATCTTTAGGTAAGAAAACTAGGAGTATCACATTGTTGAGATTGTTCAAAGGCTTAGCTCATATCGAGAATAGCTTCAAAGGCTCATTGGTTGATAGAACTGATCCCTTTTGTTACAGAGTAGATTGAAGAATTGAGGTAAGTACAGTGGTTAATTATTTATAATACATTACATGCCAATATTGCCGATAACATGAACACCAACTATGAAATTGACGTTTTCTTTGATTTCGTAATGTCAATGATAGGTAAAATTAGTTTAACTGATTGAATTACTTTGATATTTCTGCTTTAAAAAATTTGTATGTGAAAATATTATTTTATTTTTTAACGACTAAGAGTGTTGTCTAATATTCCAATCTTTTTAATTTTTTTTTTTAACGTTTTTAAGCATTTTAAAAAAGTTAAAAGCAGTAGAAAATTAGGGGTGGTAGGAACCGGGCCGGATCAAAGGAATGTTCCGAGCCGGTATTTTCAAAACCGGTGATAAGTGGAGTTGCCTATAAATGTGTTTTTCATTGAAAGATTGTGGTAAAACATCACTGCCATCTTCTCTCTCGCTCGAGGTTCAAGGTTTCTCTCTCCTCTCTCCACAGAGTTGTCGTTCCTTATATGCACGTTAAATTTCTATCCTTTACATGTATACAAATCGATTCCTGTGTTCTGCACCTATGTACACAGCAACAGTAAATTAATTAAAAAAGGAAGAAAATCGAAGCAGTGGGAATGAAGCGCGAATTGGATTTCGAAAAGGAGTTACCGGGACAACTAGAAGAATCCGGACCCGATTGCAAATCCGAAGATCCCGTTTCTCAACAGCCGGTTGAAGCCCGGCACGGATTAAATGGGTCTAATGTAATGGATACTTGCTATGTGCCTAGGATTAGGCCTCGCGAGCCGAATGGAGTCATTGTTTATAGTAGGAATAAGATGTTGAAGACCGATGGAAATGGGAATGAGTGCAGCGTTGGGGCTTCTGATAAACTCCAGGGCTGTTTGGGAATTTGGTCAGAAGCTGATGGAGCTGAAAATTTGAATGATGGAATTCTGGTTCTGGACCGGAATCAGGGCAAATTGGATGGTGGTGAGGGGGTAAATGCTGGTAGACTTGAGAGTGTTTTAGAACTTTCGGGGGTTGAAGGGGGCGACAACAAAATGATGGAGATTGAAGCGAAAGGGGAGCCAGCGGTGGTATTAGTGAAAAGTGATGCTTTAATGAATTCTAAAAATTCGGATATAGAAAATGGAAATTCGGAAGAATTAACGGATACAGTGGCTTTGGAAGCCGAGAGGTTGAAGAATGGGGACGTGAGCGCACTAGGGACTTCAACAAGGACAACAGAGATGGAGACGTCAAAGAAAGTCGAGATACAGGCGCTGCCGAAGACAGTCAAGGAGCTCTTTGAGACACGGTTGCTGGAAGGTTATCCAGTTCTGTACAACGGTGGCAAGAGGGTACTTAAAATCCTAAGGGACAATATTATCATTTATATATCATATAAATTGAATCAGAGATATTTTTTGTTAATGGCATGTCTAGATGTGTTGTACGGATGCATGCATTTTTATGATCACATCATTGTTGTTGGATGATAGGATTTCATATAGGTAATTTTGAACTGGGCAATGTGTGTTTTTTCATGCCTGTACGAAGAGAGAGCTGGCAAGAAAGAGATCATTGTGACCCGAAGCGAGAGAATTACATTCCATGATTTGCCTCAGAAACTCCTTGTCCACATGTTAAAATCTTGAACTATGAGGACTTGATCTGCGGTGAAAATGAATTAAAGAGGGTTATAGCTTTATGCATCCAGAAGGTCCTATTTGACAAAACATGGAAGATGGACTTCGTCATTTTCATATAGATCATGGAAGCATAGTCTTGACTGGAAACTTGCACTAACTTTGGTGAGCTTGTGGGAGAGTGAAGGAATGGGATTTGGAATTGTAAATTGAACTTTA